CCACTTCATGCAAAATTTCCTTGCGGAATGAATCCAGCAACTCATTGACGTGTTTGCACAATACACCTGTCGCTCAGCATGTTCTTGATGCTGGCAATAATTCTCTTCGCTAAAATATCCTGCCCACTGTTACTACATGCTGCCTCTACATCTCACAATACCTCCTTGAGCTTCTCCAGGGTATGAAGAGCAGTACCACACTTCATGTCAACAACACCCCAACGTGTACGACCGATCGGCTGTTGTCACTTGGTAGGACCCGTACTGTCTACCGAACTTGGATGTTCCATCACTATGCAATGTTATGTTGTCAGCTTCTAAAATTTCTCGGCAACATGCATACCACCTATCGGTCTTAGCTCAACTAGCATTTGTGATAGTAAACTAATGCTGGGCAGCCTATCTACTTCCTTGCCGACCATCAACAAAACACTGCGAATACCTGATGCCACATTCAATACCCCAACATTGCAAGACAAAAGCTCAAGGCAACACTTCCGGACGGCATCGACGTACTGCCCATCTTTCATGACACAAAACACTGCATCCTCATCAAGCTGCTTCAATGCATCACCTAGACATAGTTCTAGATCTCTTTTTCTCTTCTGACTCTGTGCAAGTTCCGCATGCACATCTTCACTTACTGAACGCAAACTTTCTAAACTCCCTGTCGAATCTACCTGCTTTCTCTGGTAATAGTAAACGCGCTGATGATCATTTACCAGCTTCTTCTTCGCATCTTCCATTTCATCCACACATTCATCCCGTGCATTCCACAAATTCGCAATCTGTTTCTCTCCGCGGATCTCAGTTTCAGACACTTTTTCATCCCTCTGTGTCACTACCTTCCGAGCATTTCTGATCTTGCCATAAAAACATTCAACAGATTTCTGCAGTTTCCCTTGTTCTTCCTTCTCTCTTGCTAATTCTTCTTCCAGATCAATGATTTTCTTTGACATGCTTTTTAACAGTATTTTTTCAAATTTACTGGCATTTTCTTTTTGAATGTCACCGACATTATGTGCTGGGGTGACTTCCAGCTCAGGCAGAACGAATGGCTGACATAGCAGTTCTCTGATGGCATCCTTGGCTTTGTCCTTCAGCAACTTCTTCCTTCGGTCTCCTATCATAGACATGGACGCTCTTTTGTATCCAAGGAACAGCTATGTTGAAGATTTTCAATTGTCCTATAACGAGTTGAAACGTCGAAAAATTACGTTGTATTGAGGGTACCCAATAGAAGTACGAGTCAGTGCTTCTTGTATCTTTAGTTGAAAGTCCTGTTACTAGATACGTCTCGTTATAAGATAACTTGTTGATGGCCCAGCGATTATCTGCTAATGTGGGAGGACCGGTATGTATATTCTGCTGGTCCCAGTCTGTTGTCAACTTTGAACACACTCTTACCTGAGTTTAACCATTCGCTTTTGGATGTTGCTGTTGGGAAGAATTCAGCTAATGTTGGAACTATGTGTGTGTGTGTTTGTTTCTGTGTGCGTGTGTGTATGTGTGTGTTTCTGTGTGCGTGTGTGTGTGTGTGTTTGTGTGTGTGTTTGTGTGTGTGTGTATGTGTGTTTGTGTGTGTGTTTGTGTTTGTGTGTGTGTTTGTGTGTGTGTATGTGTGTTTGTGTGTGTGTGTGTGTGTGTTTGTGTATGTCTGTGTCTGTGTGTATGTGTTACAGATTAACGAGCCTGTGTACAGTGGACAGTACTGCGAGTGTGACAACAGACACTGTCCAGTGTCCGCAACCGGAGCAGTTTGTGGAGGTGAGTGCATCGCAAGGCAGGGGCATGCGCAGATGGGGCGAGGGTGGGGGGTGCGATATCCTCGCTCCTAAAAAACGGTCATGCAGGCATGGACATGAGTGATTGACTGATTAATATTATAATATATTTATGTACACAAAAGGCACAGCGGAGGTTTACCGAGTTGTCGCAATTCAGAGTTTCTTGCTCAATGTAATCATCAGGCGACTATTACATGTTCAGTGGGACTTGGCCAATACAAAGCATAGCCTAGCGACAGCTGGTTGGTGTCTGATTCAGCACAGAAAATATTGCCATGATGGCCGCGTGTGGATGGTTGCTTAGGCAAGGGAGCTATTACAGTATTAGCGCAGAAAGTATAGATTGCTAGTGAATATAGAAATGGAAGGTGTGAATTTGTAGACAGCAGCCAGGGTGTGACGGTAATCCTTCAGAACTGTTAAAGTGTTATTGGTGATGCGGAGGGCTCTAGACTCACGCGGGTGTGCTCGCTTCAGATCATGTCACAGTACACTGTATGTTTGTTTTACAAGTGCACGCAGGTGTGTATGTGCACGTACATGATTGTATGTGTGTGTGTGTGTGTGTGTGTGTGTGTGTGTGTGTGTGTGTGTGTGTGTGCATATGATTGTGTGTATTGGGGTGGTTGCACACCTGTGATTATGTCACGGCTGCACTGTGGCTTTTGAGCAGGAATTTGTTGGCGTGTCGGCATTTAGATACAAGTTCACTCCTCTTGTTCAGTAGCGTTGTCTTGTCCGCGGTGATGATCTGCAGTTTTTCTTCTAGGCAGAGGTTGCATCTCTTGCTGATGTTGCTGTAGGCTCGGCGTTTCTTCATGATGGACCATCTGATGGATGTCTCTTTGCCTTTCTCTTTCATTTTCCATGTGTATTTCGAGAGTCCGGTGGCATTCTCGTACTTTGGGTGGCACATAGATGTGTGGTTTTTGAAATGGTTCTTGAATGCTGGCTCCGTCGAGCCGATGTAGTGTTTGATTTGGTCGTTGTCTTCTCTGGTGACTTCCGCTTGGTAAATGACATTTGTTGCCTGACACTCGCCACGAAGGAGGCAGTTACAGGGTAGGTCAGGCTTGGGCTGTTCCAGTATACGCATGTTATGGCCGCTGAGGAATGCCGAGACGTTGGGCATACAGGAAACTAATTTTCCCGGTATTTAAATTGAAGATTTTCGCCAGCCTCGAGCCTCTGGGGAAATGCCGCTTGACAAGTTGTAGGAATGCGGCTCCTACATCCGTCTGCACGTTTCTGGAAAAGGGCAGGTTGAACCATACTACTTTGCGTTTTCTTTTTCTGTTCTTTCTGGGTGTGTTCTTTTCAACGTATACTATGTTGTCTGGTAAGCCTCTCGATACCAGTGCTGTCCTGTAAAGCGGTGCAGCTTCTGTAAATACTTGGCTGTCTGCGGAGATGTCTGACAATCGTCGAGCCACTGCTGGGGATATATTTTTCAGGATGATGGGCGGGTGGTTGCTACTGCTGTTAACGTACAAAGGTGTGTCGCCTGGTTTGCGGTACGGCTTATACTTGCCACTTTGTAGGTCTAGGGTCATGTCCAGAAAGTCCACTATAGACAGGTTCGTTTGGGCTGAAATCTTGAGGCCGTAGGCGCAGAGATAACCTTGCGGGCTCGATCAGCACCTGGTCCGGTTGCGTTTTTCAATAGGGTGAGGCCGTCGTCTCGGTATAGCCCTGTCGTGTCCTTTTCTTAATGGTTGGCTAACTGATTCAGCAGGAATGATCCCACAAGCTCGCACACTTCTGCCCCGTCGAAGGAGCCCATAGTCACATCGAATGTGCTATCCTTGTTTCTTTTCATCCAGGTCTTGGCATCACTAAAGAGAAGTGACTTCCTGGCATGCATAATTATGTCCACTTCGTTTTCGTCAACTTCTGTCAGGTTCCATGCGAATTGCAGAGCCTGGGTCATAAGTTGCTCGGTCATCGAGGGGTAAAATTCTACCACATCGAATGTCAGGAAACAGTGCTTTCTCTTGTCGCTGATATCTTCAAACCAGTCGAAGACGGCTGCTGAATTTTTCCACATGTTCACCTCAGTCTTCTTTTTCACGTCCGATACGATTCTGTCCAGGATCTTCTTGCTTACGATGCCGATGTCTGATTTCGCAGGGTTGATGAGTCTGCATGGCAGGTCGTTGGTGAATCTTTCTTTGTGGTCTTTCAAAGTTACGAAAGCGTCTGCCTTGGCGAGGACTTCCATTCTGTCTTCGAGTTCTAGAGCCTTGACCACCTCCCGTGCTTCGTTGTTGATATCACTACATGCTGAATCGGGTGCTAGCTTGTAGTGCTTCGTTGTATTGTCGTGCAGGAGTTTCTTGTACGTTTCTTTCTTCACGGCATACACATTCCTGGTTTTGTCGGCCCTCACAATCACGTCTTCGGTGTCATCCAGTGCTTGCATATCCTGCTTCAGTCTGTCCTGGAATTCGTCATTCACTCTTCTGAACTTTATTGTCTCAATCAGGGTTAGGAGATCGTCTTCAAAAGGCTTCAGTTCTTCAATCTGTGGTGATGTGTTCTTGCTCTTGAAGCCGTAGGTTTCTCTTTCTTCTTCTTGGTCCTTCCCGAAGAAGAAGGCCTTCCATCTCATGCGCTTGATGACACTTTCCACTTTCTCGATCAGTGCTTTCCGGTATCTTGCTGGCGTTGGTAATGGTATGTTCCTCGCTGAATAGTTTATGTCCAGTTTCCGTATCCCGTCCATTGCTGCTGACATCCGGTAGAGTGCTCAACCTGAAAGCGAGCGGTCCTACAAGGAGGAAAACTTCCTTCTGCCAGCGGAGATGGCTCAACACAATAATGTGGAGCACTATTACACATCAAAAGGCACAACGGAGGTTTACATAGTTGTCGCAACTCAGAGTTTCTTGCTCAATGCAATCATCAGGCGCCTGATGATTGCATTGAGCAAGAAACTCTGAGTTGCGACAACTATGTAAACCTCCGTTGTGCCTTTTGATGTGTAATAGTGCTCCACATTATTGTGTTGAGCCCTCTCCGCTGGCAGAAGGAAGTTTTCCTCCTTGTAATATATTTATACATGTATTTGTACATGGTGCAAGGTACTTGTATGGTACTCATGTAGTAATTATCAATGCAGTCCGGATTGGGGGGGGGGGGGGTCCAACCCCCCCCCCCCCCTTGTGTCTGGGGAGTAAGACTCCTCTTCGTGCTCAACAATACACACATTTTACATAAACCTCTTCCCTCCCGTATACCTTATGTCTTTGCTGCCTTGTTAGTGGGAAGAAACTCCCGTTTGGATTTCCGAAATAAAACAAAAGTCATCATCATCATCACCATCATTCACATCATTCATTATTCTTCTACTTTGTGTCTTTGCTCAGGAAACCAGCAAGGTGTGTGTGCTTGTGGACAGTGTGTGTGCAAACCTGGCTTCACTGGCACGAACTGTGACTGCTCTCTATCATCCAATATCTGTCAGCCAACACCCGGGGTAAGACATGAACACAGGCGATAACACACTTGCCGTGTCTTGTTTTTAGCTTTTTCAGTTCTTAAAAAGTAATGAATGTAACATTCGTATCGGGCGCATGCGTGCATGCAGGGGCGTCAGACACGGTACGGTCACGACGGTATTGACTATACCGCGTTTTGCCACGGGTACCCCGTGAATTAATTAAATACACTTATCTGGGCTCTAAATTTTCGAAATTTTCTACTCAGGCACCCTCCACCAGGAGTAAATTGTACTTCAGATGGCTGACCGCACCCACACTAAAATACCTTCCGACGCCCCTGGCATGTGTGTGCTGTTATGCATGGTGAGAACTTGCTGGTGATCTTTAAATCTTGTGTCTTTGTTCAGGGTGAAATCTGCAGCGGTGCTGGAAGTTGTGTGTGCGGAGAATGCCAATGTGATGCAGGATTTCGAGGCGATCAATGTCAACATTGCTCCAATGACCTTGCACTGGTGAGCAAAGTAGAATATGTCATCAGTAACCGCTGCAAAAAGGAAACACATGATTTAGAGGGCAATACCATAAGGCACTAATGCACCTACCCCCCACCCCTGGCCCACACGCAGTGGCATAACGTGTGGCATTAAGTGGGGCTAGGTGAGGGAAGCTCCACCGAACAGCAGGTCTCGGTTTGGACCGCAACAGTAGGGGACGGCCAGTATTAATAGCCACTACAAAAAGGACACCTGAACTAAAGACTGCTGGGAAAAGACAAACACTTGATGTGTACAGACCAATCATCTCAGAAGGGGATTTCATGCATTCAGCCCATGTCCAACGCAGCCACTTCAATGTCTAGCCAGCATGGTCAAATCAACATTAGAGCTACTCCTCAATCAAATTATCACATCTTGGGCTTGAATCCACCCTCACTGATCATCTGTGTGTGAATACTGGTTCCCTTCAACCCATAGTGTGACTTGCTTTAGACAACATCATTCCCAAGGTGGTCAGTCTATGTCATTCCTAAGGGTAATCAGGCTGTGAAATCTCCGCCAGCAAGCCTGATCCTCTAATCTACCATTGCTGCAACACGAGTGTCGGAAGGTATTCTATATTGGTCCGACCATGAAATGGGGGGGGGGGGGTAGGTCCTGGGGGCCCTCCCCGAAAATATTTAGGAAAATTGGGCCCAAATAGCCCATGTTTCATTGCTTCAGAAATCACAGGAGGTAATTATTGGTGCAGCTTTGGCCGCACCTGTCGCACCGGTTCCGGAGCTCCTGTACAAGAGATGCATATAATGTATTGATTCACTGCGCCCACCATGGATACGGTCTATATGACTGGACTGCATGCCATGACAGCTATCTAATGGGATTGTGCTATGACGTCATCATTGGGGGTTTGTATGGAGTTACATCATAGGCACTCCATACAAGGCATTTACCGTATTTCCTCGATTAATGGACCATGCTCGAATAATAGACCATGCTCAAATAGTCAACCCTCCTAGAGGCCTCACGGAAAAATAGTAGACCATGCCCGAATAAGAGACCCGGTCCCTTATTTGAGTTCATCGATTTGCGCATGCGCACTAAGAAAGCACGTGGTGGATCAAAAAAGGACGCGATTTTAGGTTGCGCAACTACAATTTTTGTAGTGGCTATTGCTTTCTTTCATTATTTGAGCACGGTTCACTATATTTTCATCGGCACATCGCTGGAAAAGGTGGATTTTTAACATGTCATAATATAGAACTTCTATATTATGACGTGTTAAAAATCCACCATTTCCAGCGATGTGCCGATGAAAATATAGTGGACCGTGCTCAAATAATGGACCATCAGGGCTGCCACACTTGGAAGGAGAAAAATCTGACGGAGGTCTGGGGTGTCCCCCGTTGAAATATTTTAGTAAAATGGCTTGCTGTTGGGGCCCCAGAACACATTTTTAACTGTCCATACACATGCAAGCACGCGTGCATTTTACTGCTACGTGTACATGTACATGTACAATGACCGGCGAAACGCGACCTGGAAGCGCCGAATGGCCAACTCGACTAAAAAGCGCTCAAAATTTAATAATCGGTTGTCCCTCTTTGGGAACAAAATCGGTCGGTTTGTCCGACAGACGATCAAAAATCGGAGCAAGTGGCAGTCCTGGACCATGCCCAAATAAGAGACCGGGGGTCCAACCCTCTTCAAAAAACAAAAGACCGGGTCTATTAATCGAGGAAATACGGTAGTATGACTTCACCTCTAAAGCCTCTGCTTCAAGGTCAATCAAGGGTTTCATTTCAGAACTCTAAGATCTACTTGGCATCCCATTGTTTTGTAAGTTGCTAATCCCTTCCCACTTTGTGTACGTGGTCTTCATTTTCTTTTTTCTCTTCTTCCGTGGTTGGTCTCACCCTCTCCTCAATTCAATTGGCTGTCTTGACATGCCACGAGGTGCAGAAATAAATAAATAAATAATAAAATACTTCAATGTGCTGTGCATGTGTGTGTGTGTGTTTGTGTGTGCTTCTGTGTCTGCATGTGTGTGTGTGTGTCTGCATGTGTGTGTGTGTGTGTGTGTGTGTGTGTGTGTGTGTGTGCATGCGTGCGTACGTGCATGCATGCGTGTGTGTGTGCGTGCATGCATGCATGCGTGCGTGCGTGCATGCATGCGTGCGTGCATGCGTGCGTGTTTGTATGTGTGTGTGTGTGTGTGTGTGTGTGTGTGTGTGTGTGTGTGTGTGTGTGTGTGTGTGTGTGTGTGTGCATGTGTGCGTGCGTGCATGCATGTGTGCATGTGTGTGTGCGTGCATGCGTGCGTGCGTGTGTGTGCGTGTTTGTATGTTTGTGTGTGCAGTGTGAACAAGCATCCCAGTGCCTGAACTGTACTGAAGACATGCAAGGCGAGTGTCTCCCTGGTTGCCCTGGACACAATCTTGAATTCAGTTTGGAGGAAAACCCCTCTGTCGATGGTAAGGATCATGTGACACCGTCAGGTTTTCGCCGTGCACGCACACATGCATGCGCACATTCACACATGCACAGATGGATGCAGACAAATGCACAAATGCATGCACACACATGCACACACGCACTGTGCACACATGCACACCAATTCACATACCGTGCTGTCGCGTCTGTAAGCAGGTGTTTGCAGCCGTATGTTCAAACTTCAAACCATGCTGTTGTTCAACGTATGCTTCTGTACAAACATTGGTCTCCGTCAACATCATCAACCCTCACTGTAGAGCAGGCACCTAGCAGCCGGTCTGCCCGGTACGGCCACATTTTTTAACACAATGCCCCCAAAGTGCCCACAATGCAGGATTTTGCACCCGATTGATTTCCAAAGATTTCTCCCTGGGGATACCCCGACCCCCGATCCCCTCAAGTCGGACCACGTCCAACGGCGGTGCTACGCGTCTGTGTATGCATACTCAGCGATTCTGCCAGCTATGCTAGTTGTCCTGGACTCAATCCTGATTACAGTTTGGAACCCCATGTACTGTGCAAGTACATGTACACGTTCATGCACTTTGTAGTGTACCGCACTCGGCCTGTGGGGGTTGTACGGTGTTTCGAGTTGCAACATCTTGGCTAAAAAGAAGTGCGGCTTCTATACGAGTCATGCTTCTATACCAGATCTTACAGTATGCACACTTGCACACATGCACACATATGCGCGTGCACACACACACCCACACTCACACACATAATCCACGCACACATACACACGTACACATAAACCCACATATGCATTTGTGTGTGGTGTATGCATGTGTGGGGGGGGGGGGGGGAGGGGGAGGCTGTGCATTGAAACGCTGTGCATGCATGCTTGTGTGCGTGAGTATGTGTGGGCTTGTTATGGAAGAAGAAAGGACCAGTAGGTTATGAGCTATGACTAACAGTCCACAAAGTCCACCTTTCCTAGCCTGAGCCTTCCAAGTTGGAAGGTTGTTGGTTTGCGCCTCGTAGATGTGTTGAAGCTAGGTGTCAGGTCGTTGAATGTCTGATTATCCCTGTCAGTTTTGTGCCTTGTTGTCGCACTATCTGACTTTATAAGATCTCGTTACCTTGGTGGACTGTTAACTCGTAACGTATTTGCCCTTTCTTCTTCCTTAGTTAATACTGTTGGCTCTACATCCGAGTTGTAATCAGCACGCGTGATGTGTGTCTTTTGTGCATTTGCGTATGTGTGTGTTTGTGCATATGGGTGTACTTGTGTCTGTGTGTTGTGTAGGCATGCGGATGCTACAATGCGCCTCACCTGTTCCACTGCAGCTCACCCCCGAGTGTTCTACAGCACTCTTCTATGTTGCACTGAACGCCAGCAGGGTAAATCGATGCATCCCAGATCTCATGCCTTTCGTTGTGAAACGTAAGCGACATTTTTGAGCTAGAAAATTTTCTTACACGCACCATCTTCAATCCAAGTGGTAGAACATTTTCTATACTTTTAAGAAAACATGGCTGAGTTGTTCATATGTCCCCGCAATCCGAAACTTTACAGCTATAACACTCAAAAGATTTCCAGATTCTGCTGGAAAAGCCTTTTGAAAAGCGCACAACCATTCAATACACATCAGCGCGCATATGTGTATGTGTGTTTATATCTGCGAATGTCTGTACGTGTATTTTTGTATATGCGTGCGTCTGATTTATCCGCTTACAGCTTGCCGAGAACCCAAGCCTGTGAATTATGTGGCGGTTTCGTCCTCCGTTTCTGGCGTCCTGTTCATTATCGCATTGAGCGTAGGCATCGGTATAAAGCTCTACATCCGATACTTGGTGAGTGGCTGTGTTACCTCTAACGAACACTGGTTTTAGCAATGAGAAAGAAAGTGGCATACAACATACTGTGCACACTTCCTACACTGCGGGGTGATGACAAGAATAGGGTAGCAAACAGTACAATTCCAGTAACATCATGGCTAAGCCGAAAGACTGTTCTACGGAGGGTCCTATGCTGCATGTGCTGTACTGCAGCATGGTACTTACTATGCACTGTATGATCTTGGTTTGAATGCACTCTTTGCATGATCTAGACTGTCTGATTGATATGGACTGTCTGCTTGATCTAGACTGTCTGATTGATATGGACTGTCTGCTTGATCTAGACGACTGTCTGATTGACAAGCAGTAACTACTGTACGTCAACAAATATTCGGCGCATACTTATTTTCGGCCATTTTCGGCCTGGTCATGTTTGGCCGAAAACTTGCTGCAGCCGAAATTTTGTGTTTCGAGGTTCAGTGTGATAGTATACAGGCGGCAGCAGTACAGGCCGAGAATTGTATGCGGCCGAAATGGGTTTTAGCCCTGGGAGGCCCAAATTTGAATTGGCGAAAGTACTTGCAGTAATGCTTGAGGTGATGTGATTGCTTGAAATGCAATGGTGGTGTGATACTGGAAGTGTGCTGTCTTCCTAATGCAATGCTCATCTGCAGATAGCAGCGCACTGGAATATCGCCGTACTGGAATAGCCAGCAGCGGGTCTTGTCTAGATTTCCCATGTACATTCCCAGCGCCTGGGCGAATGGAGGAATGGCTAACAAAGACCCCCCCCCCCACACACACACACCCACTAACACCCACGTGCATACACACATGACCCCAGTGTTGTTTTGGGGACAAAGTGTGAACTGAATTGTCACTTGATATGCATCACTGTGCCTCAACTGTTGTCCATTGTGTGATCTGTACCTGCAGGATCGTAGAGAATACAGGAGATTCCAGAAGGAACTGGACAGAAACAGAGGAAAGGCAACGGTAAGTAGAACAGAAAGAATCGTTGTAGGGCGTTATTTTGTGTATGCCGTGGTTATGTGGTGTTGGTGCATGCGCGTGTTGCTGTGGCATGAAAAGCGGTCTTCGTCTTCAGTTCGTCAGGTCTAGTCGTTTATCCGTAGTCGTCTTGTAATAGATATAGTCTTTCCAAATGTAATCATCTCGTCGCCATGTATAGGTGTGGAGATGGCACGGGGCTGGGAGCAGGTGGATGAATTACAGATACACCACAGTCATTCCTGATTATCGTGTCACTATGCTGAAGTCCACATACTTTTGATCATGCTCTAACCAATAGAGACTATAGCTATGGCAAGCGAAACCCGCCACTTGCCAGAGGGGGCTGCACCATGCAGAGGGGGCTGCACCATGCAGAGGGGGCTGCACCATGCAGAGGGGACTGCCCCTGCAGAGGGGACTGCCCCTGCAGAGGGGACTGCCCCTGCAGAGGGGACTGCCCTGCAGCCCTGCATACCTAGTACAGTCAGACCTCGCATAACCGCACACATCCGTCGTTCTCCACAAGATATCCGGACAGGCGAGGGAACCGGATTATCGAACACACGTACTGTTTGCATGCATGGCATATGCTGTGAATCGGTAACCAACAATTTTCTTCCGGATGGCGAGGGATGCGGATAAAAGTAGACCGGATAAGTGAGGTCTGACTGTACATGGGTTACATACCACTGGTATCTGTATCATGACAGTACTCGTACTCATCACAGTCAAGGTTCACCTGAAAGGTTCAAAGGTGCTCACAACAATGAATGCAAACTGGATGCCAATACTTCGTATCTGTGCCATTTCTGTGAACTGTGTGTATCTACGCTGTGACCTTCTGACCTGTTTGGCATGTAATAATGTACAAACTGGGTCCAGTGCATTGCATCATTGATGTCCATTTGTAGCGCCGTCCCCTATGGCAAATGTCGGATTTTGCTTGCCACGACTGTAGACTGTGGTCATACAGGGGATGATCAACTAGACAACATGGATGCATCCGGGAATGACTGAACGTCTTACACTGCACAGCCTGTTCTGTTTTCTTGGTTTCCTAGCATACTCCCCTTGTAGCTCCCCACCAACCCACAAGTGTGTATCAAAAGTAACTGGACTGTGCTAACCGTCCGTGTGTTTCCTTCGCTACTGGTTTGCCATCATGCCTGCAGCGTTTTTAAAAGGGGTGAAGAGTATTTGATGACCAATACAATGCATTGTCAGTTGCTACTACTCCTCTGATCTCTTCACAGAGTGCATTGTGGTGGTACTTGTGCACCTTACAGCCATGTATGTTCTCTGTGATGATGTCACTGTGTGTGTAAGGGTGATCATGATGATGATTTTGTGTGTGTGTGTGTATGTGCATGTGTTGTGTATGTGCATGTGTGTGTGTGCATGCCTGTGTGTGTGTGTGTGTGTGTGTGTGTGTGCGTGCGTGCGTGTGTGTGTGTGTGTGTGTGTGTGTGTGTGTGTGTGCGTGAATGTGTGTATGTGTGTGTGTGTGTGTGTGTGTGTGTGTGTGTGTGTGTGTGTGTGCATGTGCATATGTGTGTGTGTGTGTGTAATGTCTTTGCTCAGCATCTGAACCCGATTTTCAAGAGTGCAAACACTACTATAGTCAACCCCACCTTCGGGCGTAGCGACTCTGGTGAAGGTGATGACGCTCTAGATATTAGTGATTTCTCGCAAAGCGGCAGTGCAAGAGTTAGCCCAGCCAGCAGTGGTAATGTTTTCGATGCCGGTGCCACTGCTTCAGAGAGATGTAGTGCTACAAGTAACCCAACAGTCATTCCCAATGTGACCAATGTGAAAGTGCGAACCACACTGCGCTCTGGACAGACTGCTGATGAGGACGTAGATGATGTCCTCGAGAACTTTGCCTGATCATTGCCAGGAGCTTGTCACAAAGCACTTGTACATACGTATATACATGGCTGTATCCAATTCTATAAACCCTTATGGCCTCGCTCCTCTATCCACCTGTCTTGCATTCGCCCTATTCTTCAGTATGCTTGCACTGTCCTCTCACCCCTCCCCGCAACACTCAATGAGCGGTTTGAGCGCATCCAGCGCATGCCACTCGTCTGTGTCTGCATCTCCCCTCTCTTTTGAACACAGAGCCCACTCTGTGCTGCTGCTGCACCGGCTCAAGTCGCTGTAATATCTGCCGTATTTTTCTTGTACCATAGCTGTGCAGCACCACACCACACCAATCCAGCTGCCCCGAATCCAATCCATTCACCCCAATCCATCCGCATGCTCAGGTTCTGTCAAACCTTGGAGCTACCCACAACACGCACACCCGCTGTAATCTCTGCCGTAATTGCACCATAGCTATGTAGCACCACACCAATACGACCCCAATCCATTCACTCCAATCCATTCGCACGCTCAGGTTCCGTCAAACCTTGGAGCTACCCACAACACACACCGGCTAGGAGACTCGTCCATCTATGTTTCCCTTGAGCATACTCAAGAACTTGAAGTATCTATAGCCCCAATACGCCACTTCACTTTTCTGTGTGATATAATTATACTCTTCCTTAGCATAGTTACTGCTTTAGCACTTTATCTCTTTAGCCGTTCCTGTGTTTCTTCTCTTATTGGCCACAGGCCATTGTGAGAAAAGATGTTGTGATGTATTCCCTTATGCTCCCTGTCGGCACGTGTGTGTGTGTGTGTGTATACAACGTCTGTGTGTGCGCGAATGGTATGTGTGTGGTGTGTCTGTATGCATGCTTAGAACGTACACATAATTGCTTTGAAAATTCAGAAAAGGTACAGGTTGTATTCCAGCCTAAGCAACATAGCGTGGTTAACAAGCAGTGCCTATCGCCATCATGAATTTGAGCATGAACAGTGCCTTACAGAAATTCCCTGCAATCCGGGGGCGGCGGAACTGGTCCAGTTGTTCAGGCCATGGCCTTACCAACGATTTGCCCACCAACCCATATTGTACTGCCGATGAGGTTGATGTACACCCACTGTACCTTGCACAAAGTATGAAGGACTATGGTATGGCCGAACCAATCAATAACTGCTGCCGCCGGTCCTGCAATCCTGCCAGAGTGCTCCATCAATTTGAAACTTCCCTTGGAGTAGTGCACAGTAGTTCTGCACACACCACACATAGCCTAGTGATAATGTGCGGGATTGAAATCTTGAAGCTACATTAGTTCTGCGGTGAAGTACCGTACTTCCCAATTGTAAGTCGCATCCCCATTTTCGGGTCCGTATCATATAATTATCGAAATTTCAAATTTGGACTTAAACGATTTTGGGCATTGTTTGGTATGGTGCACGTTCGATCTGACAAGAATGCAAAACTTCAACAGATCGTAACTCAGTCAAATCTCGCTCAAATCCAACAATGCAAATATCCAGGTAGAATAGAAAACTCTCAGCTGTCGGTAGAAACAATTCGCGAACCGCTGCAATCAATGGTTCTTGAGATAAATCATTTCAAAAGCATGCAGTGCGACTAGTTAGTTTTCTTTTTTTCTGTTCTTTTTTATGCTGCTGCCTTATGACACACATGGCACCCCTACTGGTTATAAAATGAAATGGTTATTGGTTATACATACATACCCTAAAATCAAATTTTCACCCGTTGTTGTCTTCGGGATGCCGAGTCGAATGGTCTTGGTCCGAGGAAGCTGAGACGCTCCCTTCCTCCTATATCCCCAATCAAACTCTCGCACTTCCACTGAAACTGGGTGACTGCGCCCTACTAGATGGGATTTGTATGGAAAAGTCACTAAAAGCGCCATTTCGTTATTATAAAAGCATGGATGACCGCGATGGTCCATATGTTGTAGTCTTTTGGACGCTGAGTCCACTGGCTTTGGTCCGAAAATGCTGCGATGCAGCGTTCGGCCCTTATTCCCAACCGAACACGGTTGAGTAAGCGGTCACGTGCTCATACATACACCAGTCACCTAGTACCAGTGCCCACAGGCTGCAACTTTTACAGCGTTCCTGTCACTCGAGTTGAATCTTTGAACCTTTGAGTTTTAGCCTGCAGGTACGGTGACCAGGCAACTGGTGTACGCACGAGCACGTGGCCGCTTACTCAACCGGGTATTTGATCGAGAGAAATTCCATTTCTTCAGTATGTTTTCCCTTGTGTATTCTGTGTGGACATGTTCTAGCTATACATTAAAATTTTATACCTATGGAAAGGTGTGGATAACCAACCCTAGTGGATTTATGTATTACCTGGGCTCCGGAGGATAGCCGAAATTAAGAACAACAGCGATTCAAAGTACCAGTAACAACGATTCAGTTATTGAAATTTTAGGTATGTTTTAACAGTTACGCTTACCTTCTACTTCTCAAGTCGGTTCTTCTCTTCGGCTGGAGTATCATACGGTTGTAGTCTGGCAATGTTGTCGTCAGATACTGCGTGACCAGAACGCGGAGCCGATCGACAATACGGTTCATGTTCTCAAGGGACGAGCGAGGCTGCTTGAATTTCTTGTGGATGCTTTCTCCACCTTGTTCACCGGGGAGGCCAAGGGAGACGCCGAATACACACACACACACACACACACACACACACACACACACACACACACACACACACACACACACACACACACACACACACACACACACACACACACACACACACACACACACACACACATACGCATATAGACTATGCTGGCTTGGTGCTATACAGTTGGCAGGGGCGTCGCACACGGTACAGTCACTACGGTATTGACCGTACCACTTTTTGCCACAATTCATTCGTGGCAATTCATTCGTGGCGCGCTCCGAATCCGTCAGGTACACATTTATTTGGCCAGCTGCACATGTTTTGCCAGGTACATATTTTTCCCTTGATTCCATGATCCATGCACGTGTGCGTGTAAACACCCGTACGCCAAGCTACTGGCCGTATTCGTAGTTGCCATGCACATTTGCATGACGACTTGCGAAAACTGAATCTGTTTTCAGCGAAACGATTACGAACCGAATCAAACTTTCGTTTCGCATTCGATTCGTAGCAAATGCGAAAGGTCCCTAATGTTCGGCTCGGCAACCCCTCCCCCACGAGTAAATTGTACTTCAGATGTCAGACCGCAGCACACTAAAATACCTTCCGACGCCCCTGGTTGGACAAAAAAAATGCCAACGTGCATGTGCTGTAGAGTTTGTGTGCAGCAACGAGACTTTAATAGCCGTAACTGACAATAAAGACATGCACTGCTTACATGTAGAGGGGACGGTTTCAAATAGGACACCGGTTGCAAACCGGAACGGACTCAATATTCACTTTCTCTCTTGGTATTTTGATTAGAAAACATATGTCACAGTGAGACTACTATGTGTTATACTCCGAGCCAAAATTTCATGGCTCTGCGATGACCAGAAGCGCCATATCAAGCAGGTGAGTTTTTGACGTGTTGCTTCGCACTGCGACTTGAGTTTTACGACTTTCAAAAAATCAACTTCTTGTCGCAGGTAAACAGCCTCTCGCCAATAAAGCACCGCATACCAATCAAAACTAATGGAAGCACACACAAGGCTTATTGTTACTCTATACTGGCCGTCGTGGAGCGATAGCAATTACCTAATTTCAGACCCAGAGTGAATTTGACGTGCACTCTAAAACGTGTCCGGTTTGGAGCCACCTCTGATTTGAACTTTTTTGAAGCGAAAAATTGGGCAACTTGGAGGCAATGGGTCAACACAAAGGAGTGGCTCAGTTCGATTGACTCTGGCCCCAGAGCAAACTTCAACATGCCAGTTTCCTTCCACAAACATATTTCGAGTGAAAAATCAACGCTGATGAACGGTTTGGGTCTATACAAATTTGGCTGTCAAAACGTCCCGGTATCGAGCCGTCTCCTCTACCAGTATATATGACATTGGCAACCAATCAAAGTGACCTCTACTGGTCTCTACTCTAGTGATCTTTTGAGAAAATGTAAGACCCACCGAACCCCACACGGGCGGAAGCGGAACGCACAGGAACGCGACCTGAAACTTTCCTTTCCATTCGAAGACCAAACCATGGTAAAATTGCAACAAGGAACCTTCCCCTAGGCTAATACTATTAGTCCTAGGAATGGTAAAAAAAAAAGAAGGAGCTGCATGTCTACGCTGACAATAATTATAATCCATTCGCACATTCTCCCAAAGACACAGTACACAGACAAGGACAAACATTACCACCGACATTTCAACTACACTGCTTCAGATAATTATTATGACAGCTTCGGCAATACGAATCGTCGTGTGTCTTTCCAGTCCGCTTTCTCGACAACAAGCATAAAAGTCTCTGCTGTGAGCGCGGTGGCTCACCATTGGTGAAGTGACCTCACCGGTAACATTGCATAATACACGACAACAATGGCAACATCAATATCGCTATGGAACATACCTTCCCCACGGCCAGCCGATATGGCCGTTCCCAACACGAGGAGGAAAGCGAGGAAGAAGGTTGTCGTTGCCATCCTGACAGGACGAGGTGGACAGGATTTCCAGAAATGACGACAGGCTGCGAATGCAATCTTCTATTTTAATAGAGGGAAAGCGCTGCGTGGTACCGGTAGCACTCCACATCTATCGCCTCGTAGATCTACCGGTAATCGTCTCGCTCCTGGACACGTCGAACACGATTATTGTATTGAAAAGCCGCTGCCATCTTTCGCAGTTTCTGTTCGTCGTCTCATCACCGGTGCACCGCGGATGCCTGTACCGAGTATGTCCGTCCGTGCAACACCGCCGAGTGTCGGCAGTCCGAATCTGGATGTGCGCTCGCCTTGCGGATTGCTACGCGCAAAGCAAAACGGAACAGGCTTCAGATATACCGGTAGGTGATATAATTCCCTCGAACTAACACTACCTTTTCTTTACGAAGAGCTTCGCGCTTCGTTCTGCGGTGCGCAGTGAAAGAAGTCACAGCAGCGTTCGCAGTAGCAAGTGCCAACGCCGTCACGGGCAAGTAAACCACGCACCTCCTACACTACACTCTGCACTACAGACAGTCACGAACTAACACTGTCTTTACTTACTACCCGCGGTGTGCGGACAAAGCCCGTAGCCTAACAAAGGCCAGCGAGGAGCAATATTGCCAATACTTACAGTCGAACGATCTCGCCTCAGCCCTCGGACAACTGCTTCGACCTAAGCTATAAGACCCTTGCAAGATCTCACCAGCAGAGCTCAAGGTTGTTGTTGATTTTTATTATGCTTCGGAAGGCCAACGGGCAATGGTGCCCAATTCTATGGCAGCGAATTGAAAGGCGGAATTCGGTACTTTTTGTGGTAAGTTTCAAGCATGCTTGGTATGTGGATAAAGAATTGGAGCAGAATTCGAGGAATTGCCCGCCATAAAGTTTGTATGGTTCTGCCAATTTCACTGCTTTTCGAGCAGAATCTGCCACCTTTTCGGGCATTATCCGCCAATGCCTACTGCCCATCCCTGGATGGCAACTTCCCCATATCTAATCCCCAAGACGAAGTGAACACTAAAGTCACAGTGTCTTGTAACATCATGAAGAAGAGAAGTAGCAGTGGCCAGAGTTATCTCTGCATGCTACCCTATAGTCAGACCTATAGGCCATACCAAAACAAATCTCGCATTGATTTACGGGCAAAGACCGTTTCTGAAAAATGGAAAAACTGCATTGCTCCATACATGGTCAAGTTATCTATAAATTGCAAATACAGAATCTTGGCAGTGGCATTGTGTATAGAACAGGTACGAGTGCGTATACCTCAGACAGTGTGGAGAAAGAAGGCGTAAAAATAACATGACTGCGTTCATGTAACGTTAGACATGGCATCACTTAGATGTGCAGTGCCTTGAATTTTGAATTTTAAATTCCATTCTCAGCGACTGGCTTCGTCCATGCACATCAACGCCACCTTGCTGTTCATTGCAGTGGGATTTAGGTGAATACAAGTTTTGAGAAATACACATCAAGTGCGTACTTACAAAAAGCTATTCCACTCTCCACCGTTTTACATTGCATGAATAAAGTATACACAAATGTCGATTCAGCTTGTCTTATTGATTGCGGTTATCAAACCACTGCAGTGTGATAATGATGACAGCAATACAGTTTGCAGAGAACAGCAATGGTAAATGTAAGGTTTGCAACAATTAAAACCCAGGAGGATGCTGAGAGTGTTAGGTATGCTTGCATAACGACTGTCCGCTTCCGGTAAGGCCGATTGGATCCAAGACTTGACTTGTCAGCAGGAAATAAGATGGTGTGTTTGAATACTGGGCCTTACTGCAAAGCCTACATCCCCGCCTTCCCTTCTCAATTGCTTTCAGCTGGCTTCGTATCAGGATCGGCAGATCCGAAAAACACCGGGTTGACGACCTTCACAGTTGCCGCCTTGTACAGTGGATTCTCAGCCTGTTTAGACACAACATGACACACAACACAACACACAAAATACTTGGAATTTGAACACAGCTTATCATGCACAGGGTTGCCGACGGTGTACGTGTTGTCAAAAAAATGAAGAAAAAACATAACACAGTCACATGACATGGTCACATGACATGGTCACATGACATGGTCACACGAGACATTCACAAGATACATGATTGTACATACCATTCCATTGTTTTTGATCTTATTTGTCTCTCTGATGAAAGTCTTGTACTCCAGTCGATCCTACAGAACAGCAGCACCCACACAGCATTACAACACACACACACACATGCACATGTAGGCACGCAAACACACACGCAAACGCTCTCTCTCGCGCGCGCACACACACACACACACACACACACACCACACCACACACATACACACACACACACACACACACACACACACACACACATAAACACACATAAACACACACACACACACACACACACACACACACACACACACACACACACACACAGTCATGTCCTTCTGGAGTGAGCACAGACAACATTTCTGTGCCGATGTGTACCCAACCATCGCAAATGAACATTTTATCGGTGAAACCGAAACCACCATGCCTGTCCATGACACGACGTTGAGCATAACATGACCGATATTACACATGCATGATAGGACAATGTAAACGCATCTGTTTATCAGGAAACTGTTCACAACCTACACATACCGACCAATGTAACGGAAGGAATTTCCATGCTGAGCCGTATGCCTATAAACTGGCAATGCGTGTCTGTATGCCTGAAAAATGGCAATGCAGTCGTCATGACATAAGTTTAGCTGCAAGCCAGAGATGTGGTCGGCAGAGCCATCAATGCCCCACCATCACTGCTGCGTCTCGGTGCAGCCCCTGCTCAGTAGTTGTCACGTTTGGTCCTAGTCTAAGCACCATTGTCTTTTCATTAATATTTTTCGAGTTGGGTATGTGAAAAGAATAAACGAGAGAGCTTGGAAACTCAGGGCCCTACGCTATGCTTTTTTGCCTTGATGACCTAGACAAAAAAAGCATAGGGCTAGGGATGTTATAAATTCTTATAAATTTCTACTTTTTTGTTTTAGACATAACCTGGGATTCGAACCCGCACTATCGCCCTGCGTGCATCCCCGATACACTTCGCATACATACTAATTCTTCCAAGTTGCTTCACGTTATGATCTTGTATTTCAAAGCCGTATTTGAATATGCATTGTGGCCAGCCGTCTTTGATTGCACGGTACGGTACGGGACAGGTAGGGGACATGTACGGGACAGGTACGGGACAGGTACGGTCGAGGGTAATACGACACCATCCACCGCTTTGATGACGGCAAAAAAAGAATAGGGATGTTATAATTTTTTCAATTTTCCTATTTTTTTTCAGGCATTACCTGGGATTCGAACCCGCACTATCGCCCCACATGCATTCCCCCAGACACTTCGCATTCATACTCATTCTTCCAAGTTGCTTCATGTTATTGTCTTGCGTTTGAAAGCCCTATTTGAATAGTGCGGCCAGCTGTATGTGGCCAGCTGTGTTTGATGGTACGGTACGATACGGGACAGATACGGGATAGCGCCAGGCGTGACACAAACACACAAACACCAAATTAAAGCTGTGTGGACCCTGGCTAGCGCCAGACGTTACTGAAGTAACGTCTTCTGCATAGCTACGGGAATAAAATATTATTGACAGGTGGCGTAGAATATGCATTGACACAATAAGTACACTATTACTGGGTACGTGAACATAGTAAAATACTGTGTGTGTGTTTGTGTACAAAACTCACCCTGTGCATGACACACAACTTGACAATGATGATGGTCACCAGTGCCACTAAAACCAGAGAACCGGCTGGAGCAACGGCTATGACAAGATAGCTAGTAGGCTTGGCAACCGTGCATTCTGTAGCAGATATAAACACACACAGACACACAGACACACACACACACACACACACACACACACACACACACACACACACACACACACACACAAACATGCACAAACAAACACACACACACAAGCAAGGGAGTAGGAAAAACAAATCATGTATGGTCTTTTTTCACATGGCATGCATGATGTAACCGGGGGTACATGGTCAAGAGAGAGAAAGAAAGAAGCTAGATTGCAACTGCGGATTTCACGGTATGCATGACCATCACACAGATGAACTATATTTAGATGCTTGGACCAATCTCTCTCATGCATTCGCCTCTCTCTCTCTCTCTCTCTCTCTCTCTCTCTCTCTCTCTCTCTCTCTCTCTCTCTCTCTCTCTCTCTCTCTCTCTCTCTCTCTCTCTCTCTCTCTCTCTCTCTCTCTCTCTCTCTCTCTCTCTCTCTCTCTCTCTCTCTCTCTCTCTCTCTCTCTCTATCTATCTATCTATCTCTCTCTCGCTAATCAGTCTCACCCAGGTATAATGTCTTTCTCAATGAAGTGTACAATAGTCTTTAAGTTCTGCCTGAACAGTTGCGCAGCGCAGTGTAAAAAGGGCACCTCGAAAATCTGTTATTTGCCGCGAGATTAAAAAAAATGTCGTGTTCCACGCGGAAACAAGCTGTTGTTCAGAAAGAAGTTTTTCGATTTCTCTGTGCTCGCACTTGTTCCTGGATGTACTTCTACTCGTTGCGGTGTTTCTGTGGCCGTGGCAGGGGAAATGTGTGGCTGACCAATTCTGGCTGCAATACACTGACTGAACAAACGTCCAGAGTAAAAGTAAGCAAAGATGCCAACCCATATACTTTGTAGTTTTGTTTTTTCACCGCTGAGCATAGCGAAAGAGTGCAAAAACGTATTTTCACTCGCAAATATTTTCATGCGTTTGCTCTGGTTCTGCGCAACTCCGTTGAACCTGCCATCGTGGTCCTTGTTTTTCCTCGTGGTAGTTGAAGTTACCCGCCCATCCATCCTGGTTTCATGGGTGTCTTCCGCTGTTCTTCTTGATATTCTATGTCAATGTGTGTGGCTTATCATTATGACACAATGGTTATTACACAGTGGCGTGTCCAGGATTTGGCTGAGGGGGGGGGGGGGGGGGGGTTGCGGCCGGGATGGGGTGGGGGTAGATGACATCATGCTACTGTCCCAGGTCAGCCATTTTGAAAACCGATGTCAAGGAGCCGTAAATCTCACACACTACGAGCAGTATTTCTGTACACGCAGCAACATTCTACATTGTTTACAAACTTCAAATTTGCCATGGTTATGTGAGCCAATCAACTGCAATTTATGCGAGTCCAACAATTTCTCACCGCTCAAAGCATCCTTTACATAGGCAGCGGTACTATGTCCACTTGTCACTGTGCGCTGTTCTTCATGTTCTGGCTGCTCGCTGACAACAGGTGCTTCCACGTCTGGCGGAGTGTGACTGTCAGTCCGCTCCGAAAGTTCAACTGGCATAACAGCGACTTCATCACTCCACTGTTTCCTGTTGGAGCGGCAGCAAGAGCTGCGCCGCCACAGGAACGCTTTGCAAAAATCCATCCAGGCTCTGCTGGCTAGAGCTTGGCCTTTTGAGATGTCGCTGAGACATCGAAGAAAAGTCTTCGAGTCAACCAAAACACGATTCGAACGAGGATGATCGCCTGAGCCCTTGGCATTCGAATCGTGTTTTAGGTTGACTCAAAGACTTTTCTTCGATGTTTGTACGTTGAAGACGGGTCCAGCGCGTCCCCGCAGGGATCACACTGTACAACAGTACAGTGTACACAGTCAGGTCACCGTGTTTCTGTAGCCGTGCTAGCCGTGCATGCTCACTGTACTCTGTAGACTGTAGTGTAGTGTGTAAAATCAACACCAGCTCGAGCACAGTACCGTGCAACCGCTTTTGGACGCGACGATTGTTTCATGCCGCGCGCGCGCCCCGAGCCTAGCGCTAGCTAGCCCTGCCTTTTATTTTCGAAACCTAGGTCGAAAATTTTGAGGGGGGGGGGGTGCGCCCCGCGCCCCCGCCCCCCCCCCCCCCCCCCCCCACCCCTAAACCCACCACTGTTACATACCATTTCTTGCTGGCTCAATTCTCGGGTCCGACTGGCAGCGGGGCAGGAAGTAATGAAATAGAAAGGTTTTTTGGCCGAAAGGCGTGTTTTTCCTCTAGCCCGGTTGAGCGGTCGCGGCTAGGAATGTAGGGAGTCATTGTTTTCAGGCGCTCCCCTGCTGCCCAGTCACCCATGCTCACCACTGGCCATGCTGTTTCACTTGATTTTACGGCCTTTTCTCCCGCTTGCTGGCGGTTCTTTGATGGATTTAGATGTTTTTCGGCTATTTATCTATTATGTGGCTGTGAGTGTGTTTTTTTGCTGCTACTCGTTTCTGGAAAACCACTCCGGTGGTGAGTGTGATTGTTCTGGTAGACCACTACCCCATGTACTGAACAGTTGCTTTGTGAGTGAAAATGAATATATTGTCCTCTAAGAACTCAGCTAGTGAGCCAGGGAAAATATTGTAACATGGAAAATTGTGGGCACAAGTTATGCGATCGAGTCCACCTACTAAACCAGATTTTGAACAGTCAGTTATGTAAGGTTTGTGATAGATTGTGCACGTTTGACTGTTCAAAATCTGGTTTAGTTCGTGGACTCGATCGCATAACTTGTGCCCATATTTTTCCATGTTCCATTGTCCCCTACCTACCTTTAGTGACGAATGGCAGGAATGGCCGATGACAACGGTCACCTTTGCTTGTGTCAAACGCTGCAAAGAACTCTGAGACAGTGCATGTCGGTGTGGCTTGAATGGGGACAGGTGAGACACACTGGTAGGCTCTCTTGCCTGCGTATCATCAAGTTCACACAGAACACACACACACACACACACACACACACACACACACATTCACACATACACGACAGAAAGAGGGAAAAATGAAATGCACAGGGTGGGAAGAGAGCAGCAGCAGCAGCAGCAGGCTAAGACAAGGCGTGGCTCTATGTATGGGGGGGGGGGTCGAGGCTCTTTTACAGCACAGCATTTGAACCGAGTATAGGCCGTACTGGAGTGTAAGCCGCATCCACGATTTTTGTCACGAAATACAGATATCCACCCTGTTTATAACTGGTAATTTGACCATTTAGTACAAGCCGTACCACCGACTCTTTGGCTGTATTAATGGTGTTTCAAGTCCAGCTTATACCTCAGGAAACACGGTGCCTTTCTCCTAAAGGCTGCTGTCACAATTAGTAATAGACATGACCAGCCATTCCTAAAGACAGTCACTACTCATAACATGCTGTGAACACCGTACCAATAATAGTAGGATTGTCCTCGGTACTCTGCTCTGGGCTGAGTCCTGGACAAGACGGCAGGGCTTCTCCCAGGCTGCCGCCATCAGTGGAATTGAAGCATATGACAGCTAGCTCACACTGAAACACAACACGCACATAATCACACGTCAGGCGAAATAGCACGTCATAGTACATTTGAGATCAGCGGGAAGAAGATGACGACGTCCACTAATTTAGTATCTGTGCACACGAATCTGCTGTGTGTGTGACTCTGTGTGTCAGCTATGATATCATCTCCTGTGGTTCCATGCCTAGCATGTACATCTGAACCATCCTGCAAAGTTCGAATGACGTAGGTTGAGCGATCGCTCCGCGAAACATACTTTTTGAAATTCTCTTCATAGTATATCTTCCAACATTGAAATTTCGAATTTCTTGCTGAGAGGTGGCTTGGAACCTCGATATGGCTTGTTCCAGGCATGCTTTGGAGCCATCTCCTGTTGAAGTAGGGGCAGGGATCTGCCCTGCAACTGCTACAACAAAAAATGATTCGATCTGAGAAAGGGTGAGACCGCGAATCTCGGTTGAATATTGAGTATTTCAAGCCTTTCCACGACGAAGATGGAGTTCTTTTTGGAGATGGACGTCGCGGCAAAGGACATGGTGTCCGACTTCTGGCGTTTGGTGAAGCCAGGGATCATTTGTCCAGTCAGGTCGGCAGCCTAACCGTCGGTAGGCTTGTGTTTGGATCCCGTTCTGCTCGATGTGGTAGATCACAAACAATTTGATATCGCACAAATTGATCTCAGCATCGTGCGTACGGTATTTTATATTCAAAAAATCCCAAAGTGTCTCTGTGTGGCCGTTCTATGCCACGAGAAGCTCCAATCAGGCTCCTATGTCCTCTGCCTTCATGATTGAATGTCCACTTCGTTTGAACAACGAACACAACAATCGAGGACGGCTTTGCAATGAAAAATACAGCTATACTGGAGCTGAAAAAAAGAAGAAAAAACGTGCTCAGGATGAGACTCGAGTACACGCATACTCTCCCAGCAGGTGAAACGCAAATTTTTGTGAAAAATGCGTGTCGCCGACTGACCAGTAATTTCGCCTGACGGTGCTAAGGATGAGCAGTGACATTCGCCATTGTTGTATTTATGGGCCATGGGCCTAGTCATTGCAAGTGTTAAAGATATTAATCTACCGGAAAGTGCCTAACGGTGTTTGGTGAATGCCATATTTCCACAGCAGAAAATGTTGTATGCGTTGGTTGATGTTGCAACATTCTACCAAATTGGCAGGATAGCATCCTTCATTGCTGTGTGAGTTCGACATCATCATCCCAAAAGAAAAAGATCAAGGCGCAGATGCAACTCCTAAAGCAGCAATAGAAGGGGCAGCAGTGGCAGCAGCATCCTATGCTGTGTTCATCCTATGCTCTTTCTGCATTAAAGGGGAAGTTAAGGCAAAAATTAAAATTTCACCAGTTGTAGTCTTCGGGGTGCTGAAGTCGAATGGTCTTGGTCCGAGAAAGCTGAGACGCTCCCTTCCTACTTGAATCCCAATCGAACTCGCGCACTTCCACCGAAACTGGGTGACTGCGCCCTACTAGATGGAGATTTGTATGCAAAATGTCACTAAAAGCGCCATTTCGTTTTTATAAAAGCACGGATGACCGCGATTGGCCCATATGTTGTAGTCTTTTGGACGCTGAGTCGACTGGTTTTGGTCCGAAAAGGCTGCGATGCAGCGTTCAGCCCTTATTCCCAATCGAACATGGTTGAACAAGCGGTCACGTGCTCCTGGGTGCCCAAATCACCTGGTCACCACGCCAGCAGGCGACAACTTTCACACCAAGGTTCAACTCGAGTTCAACTCGAGTGACAGGACTGCACCCAAAAAAGGTCAAACAGGCTAGTAAGTTGTACCCTGCAGGCACGGTGACCAGGTGACTGGCGTACGCAGGAGCACGTGACCGCTTGTTCAACCATGTTCGATTGGGAATAAAGGAGGAACGCTGCATCGCAGCCTTTTAGGACCAAAACCAATCGACTCAGCGCCCAAAAGACAACATATGGGCCAATCGCGGTCATCAATGCTTTTATAAGAACGAAATGGCACTTTTAGCTTTTACCGCATACAAATCCCCATCTAGTAGGGCGCAGTCACCCAGTTTCGGTGGAAGTGCGCGAGTTCGATTGGGATTAAAGTAGGAAGGGAGCGTCTCAGCTTCCTCGGACCACGACCATTCAACTCAGCACCCCGAAGACTACAGCTGGTGAAATTTTAATTTTTGCCTTAACTTCCCCTTTAATATGTTGGCTTCTGCTTTCAACAATACATGCTTCAACAGCAACTACAGTAACAGTAGCACTACCACCAACACCACCAACACCAACACCAACACCACTACCACCAACACCAACACCAACACCACTACCACCAACACCACCAACACCAACACCACTACCACCAACACCAACACCAACACCACTACCACCAACACCACCAACACCAACACCAACACCACTACCACCAACACCACCAACACCAACACCAACACCACTACCACCAACACCACTACCACCAACACCAACACCACTACCACCAACACCAACACCAACACCACTACCACCAACACCACCAACACCAACACCAACACCACTACCACCAACACCACCAACACCAACACCAACACCACTACCACCAACACTACCACCAACACCACCAGCAGCATCAGGCAAGCAAGGAATGTAGATGTGGATCATCTTTGGAATAATGGACAAAGAATGTTGTGTACTGCGGGTTGGTGTAGAGCTTTTTCAAGGTTGTACCAACCGTCACTTTTCGAGGTCACGGGCGAGATATTTTTTAAATCGTTGGTGAACAGGCAAAGCCCAGTTCACGTTCACTTTGTATGGGAATAGATGCGTGGACGTGAAAGAAGCACTAGCATGATGCTTCAGTTGATGTGCGCCACTCGTGTTGAATCGGAGCAGTTGCCAGAAAGCCCTTCCATGGCTTGGGCGAAAAAGAACAAGCTTCAAAATCGCTCCAAGCGCTGGTGGAGACGAACCTGTCACATTTCGTATACTTTTCAATGCGTTTTGACATGCAACCTGTTCACCACAATCTCGGGGTGAGCTCCGGTAGCGGACACTGTGCCCCGTCCTTAAAAAAGCTCTATTGATGATTTGAACTTGTGTATCACCAATGTCACACGCATACATGCACGCACGCATGGACACACGTATACACACACATTATTTCAAACTCAGATGGTGAGCCAAGGAAAAAATTGAAACATGGAAAAAGGTGGGCACAAGATCTTTGTCAGTTTAGTGCTAGATTGTGCACGTCTGACTGTTCAAAATCTGGTTTAGTTGGTGGACTCGATCGCATAACTTGTGGCCACATTTTTCCATGTTACAATTATTTCAAATCTTAGTTATAGCCCAGCCTGATTGTATTGTGGATTACGGTATTTAGCTTACCGGAGATCTAGTATCTGCACAATCCTCACAGTATGGTCCTGTGAAGCCATCCTTGCATTGGCATGCACCACAGTGACATGTGCCAGCCTCGCTGCATACTGCACTCTGCAGTGAGAAGGACAGACAGAAAGAGAGAGAAGAAAATAAATTATAATGAGTAAGCATATGAATATAATTATGTGTGTTTGTGCATGCTTGTTCGTGTATGTGTGTGTGTGTGTGTGTGTGTGTGTGTGTGTGTGTGTGTGTGTGTGTGTGTGTGTGTGTGTGTGTGTGTGTGTGTGTGTGTGTATGTGTGTGTGTGTGTGTGGTGTGTGGTGTGTGTGGTGTGTGGTGTGTGTGTGTGTGTGTGTGTGTGTGTGTGTGTGTGTGTGTGTGTGTGTGTGTATGTGTGTGTGGTGTGTGGTGTGTGGTGTGTGGTGTGTGGTGTGTGTGGTGTGTGGTGTGTGTGTGTGTGTGTGTGTGTGTGTGTGTGTGTGTGTGTACGTGCGAGTGTGTATGCATGTGTGCGCACCAATACTAGTACATGTATTAGCATCTGCATGGTATGTGGCCCTAGACTTTCAGGAGTGGAGTTCCATCGGCCACAAACCGCACAAGTTATTCTCCACTGGCAGCTTCCACAGCTCAAGCTGCACCTGTCACCATATTTCCTGTGGAATCGGCATCTGGAACATTGAGTCTTGCTGTGGACTGGAAAAAAAGGAATGCACTCTTCTCATTGCGCGATTGCATGCGTCCATATGCGCGCATGCATGCAAACGTGCTCAAATGCTTCTGCCAACCATCTTTGCCCAGTCGGCTACATCATAAATATAGTAATGATTATTGTAGCCCCTCTTTCAATCCTACATCCATGTGCAAGACACACCCCCTTTTGTTCAAATCCAGAAGTTCGTCCTAGGCAACCGATCGCTTCACAACCTAAGATCTAAATGGAGAGGACATTGACGGTGTAGGAGAAGCATTGCAGTGGCTTGTCTCACCTCACTGGTTTCCTTGCAGGGTCCGCTGTGCAGCAAACAGTCGCAACTTGAGCCGGTATAATTGGCATTGCACTGACACTGTCCACATACACATGAGCCTTGAGATGTACCTGCACGGGGTGAGGTACAACAGCAGAACGAGTAGCATTGGAACACAGGACTGTCACCTGGCATTTACAACCTCTTCTACCCCCCCCTTGCCCCCCCCCTTGCCTCCCCCCCCCTTGCCCCCCCCCCCCCACACACACACCTTCCACAGTGCGCAGATGAAGCTCCATGTTGTGATGATGATGAAGGCAGTGAGCCGCACAATTGGCCCATGAAAAAGATACCACAGTGGCATACTCTTTGTTACCGACTCCTGACGTCATTGCTAAATAGGTGAACATGCTGGCATGTACTTATTTCATCCCCTTTCTATCCAACCCCTACCGCACCATGACATTTTGACTATTTCAGAAAGGAAGCCCCCCCCCCCCCACATTACAAACACAGATGCTGCCACTGCAGCACCACCACCTACCCAGTGGCAATGTACACCTTGAAAGTCTGATAATCGCTTATTATTATTATCAGCCTTTTCGTGCTAACATCGCCAAGCAAACTTGGCTAGTCTTCGCTTAGGCCAAATGGAATCGCTTACCTCCACAAATAGCACCGGTATCCGACAGTGGACAGTTGAAATTGTCACACTCGCAATACTGTCCTGAATATGCAGCGTCCGGAATCTGTTACAGGAAAAGCAAAATGTAGAAATCACGGTGAAATAGATGACAACATCGTGCGTATGGACGGAGGCCAGTTTAAAGGGGAACTCCGGTCCAAAATCACCCCCATTTCTTATTGCGGAATCCATTAGAGTATGTCGTAAGTGGTAGAATGGCGAAAACCGGAAGCTTCTACGACAAGGATAACATACCTAAATTACCAATTGCAATTTTCCATATTTGGCACGAGGGGCCCCCCGCCCACCCTGTGACGTAAAACGTTCTCAGTGACCTCCAATTTTTTTTATTCAAATGGTAGACCTGCAGAAATTTTGAAAAAGGTATTCACTGTTTTTTCTTCAATCAATAACCCTTGTACTAGTATTCATTCGATCATCATGTTGGAGGAAGAGGAGACGACGGGAGGTATGGAGGTGGACGCCACTTCGGATTCAACAACACCGAGGCCTTTTAGGTTCGAGCCGAAGCGCGCATCAGCGTCTGCGAAACTGTCTACAAGTAATATTTCTGAGACTACAAAACAGATGAACGTGAAGAGAACGCTTTGGTTGCAAGTGCTCGCGTGAGAAGCACTGCTTATGCCGTTGCGGACAATGCAGCATGATGTGGAGCGAGGTCGAGTCGACTTGTTGCTGGGAGGTTCCTGCAGCTTTCAGTAAACGCGGCGAGCAGGAAGGGCTGCAGTGCTTCACGCAGCACTCAGAGTTTGCTGTTGTTTGCCTGCAAAAATCAGTGCTCGAGGTGGCATTGCTTTCCTTCGAAGAATTTCGGGCAAGGTGTGGACCGTGGTCAAACAGGTGAGGATTCACTGAATCGGTTTCATTATTTCCTTTCTTTCCATGTTTCATGTACCGGTACAAAGTAGATGGGAAGTGTTGTGCAATGATTTTGTGTACAGTATTCAAATTCACCAACTTCCATCACACAATCATGAAGTTCTATTGCACCCATGCCAATATAATTATACTGGTACAACGATGTCTTTCATTCATACTATTCCTAGCACTGTAAGTGTTTCAACTGTGTGTAAAAGTGATGTAAATTTGAAAAAAGGCCAAAGTGTCTTTAGTATAGTAGCCCATAGAAATATTAATTCGAATCCGAAACTATTTACACTGAAACTATTTACTTTTACACAATCATGAAGACACTCGTGGTATGTGTATCTACATCTCTCCAACTGTTTTCTGCAGGATTTGGAGACATGCGGCGTATAGACAATACACATGGTTCACCCATGGATACTTTGGACGCAAGCAGCGGCGTGTGATACCGTCTTGCGTGGTATCGAAGATAAAGCAGCTGTACCAGAAGCCAATGCAGATGCGCACTGGGGCTTTGAGGAAGCAGTTGGACATGATGATGATGATGATGATGATAATGCTTCTTGGCCTGGTTGACGTTCACATAATCATTGGTACATGTGCATGCAGAATGTAGAAAACAGTTGGCAGACACGATTTATAACTATTCTCGACTCGGGCAATATTTGTGTTTTCGGGTGGGCGCATGCTTTGCACCAATGCAGCTGCATGAACAATCTGGTAAAGTTGACAGATACAATGGCACAATACTGTACTGTGTTCGGGAGCATGGGGTTGTGCCGGTGCCGTTGCGAATGCCGAGAATGGTTGTATGCACATCGTTCAACAGGTCCTTCAAGAAGTTGCAGGACATTGTCGTGCAGCTTCTTGGCCACTTTGTGCTCTTGGTGTATTCCAGCCTGTACCTGAGCACACCCTCCTTGGTTTTGGCGTGCGCTCTCCCTATATTGGCATTGTGGGACAGACATGCCGACTGTACCCGTGCTCTCATGCCATTGTACGAAAAGTGGACACGTTTTGGTGCCCACTTCAGTATGACAGCATGGACAATTTCCAGACTACAAATCATACTGTACCTTGTATTTGTGGCAGTGTAGCTGCAACCGGAAAGTAACGCAATGGAAACTTACAGATAAAGAGAACCGAAATAACACACATGATAACGTTCCATGTACATTACATCAATTCTCGACTTCACTGACTAGGATTTTGAGTAGAGGACTTTGAGTAGGACTGTAGTCGTTTAGAGCTACGTTCTGGACGGCACAAAATCATGCCGTTCACTTACCTCATCGTGCTTACGTTCCTGGAAGTAAATCGAAGATGGTCTGCTTTTGCTGGCAGCAGAGGTAGAGGAGCTACTAACTATTAGTATGACATGCAACGCCAAGTTTCAGGATGGCAGAGACCCTGGCTTCAAGCGTCGCTGCTGCTTCTGCTTATAGCCACCAATGCTTTGTGCAAACTCTTGTTGGAAATCTCTTTCATAGCACATCTCAGTGAAATGCTCAGTGCAGACACGATTATTTTTCGTCGGAGAAACATCCTTCCAACATACTCTCCATAGCCAAGCTGTCGTCAGGTTCGCGTCAGCCAGAGGAAAGCCATGCTACGACAGCCCGCAGGCGCCTCTTTCTTCGTGACATTGTTGCATCCAGAGACGCAGCAGCGAGTCGTGACAATAAATCGGGCATGGCACAGAACAACAAGCACTTCAACAATGGCCAAGGACTTTTCATTCTTGCTTCAATTATTTGAAAATTTCATCTGAGTGGACGCGGGCTGAGAACGTTTTACGTCACAGGGTGGGAGGGGGCCCCCTCGTGCCAAATATGGAAAATTGCAATTGGTAATTTAGGTATGTTATCCTTGTCGTAGAAGCTTCCGGTTTTCGCCATTCTACCACTTACGACATACTCTAATGGATCCCGCAATAAAAAATGGGGGTGATTTTGGACCGGAGTTCCCCTTTAAAATGGCTCTCCACAATCAATCATTGGTGAATGCTAAATCATCGGGAAATGCTTTTACCATAATCGGACCATGCAAGACTATACGAACATCAGCCTGAAATCAAATCTCGTTTCTAGCATGATGGCAGCAGCATCTGGTCATGTCACTAAACTTACGGCTGTTCCAGCTGGCTTGCCACAGACACACTCTTGGCATACACACTCTCCGCGATCACTACATACTGACGATGTGCCATTCGCTCTGCAAGTAAAGTTAGGACAGCAATAGCAAGAGTCATCCTGGTCAACAAGGTGAAGAATATTCACAAGACAAACTTAACATGCACAGCTACAGATTTCTAGTTGTCCTGGAAGACTAGTTAGACTACATACTACCTCGAGACAAATCTGAAGTCCTTGACATTGCCATTCCAACCCAGCTCATCCAAAAGTATCTTCTATCTGTCTCACACGCTGTCAACATGTGTCGCCCTCTATATCTATCTCACCTTTTCTGCCCCTGTCTCTCTTTCTCTCTCTCTCTCACACACACTCGCTCGCTCACTCATTCTGTCACACGCATACACACACACACACGTATGCACTCACATCTGTGCTCAACCAAGCACACACACACACATACACACACATACATACACGCGCGCGCACGCACGCACGCACGCACGCACGCACGCACGCACACACACACACACACACACAAAGCGCATACACATTAACAAACAACACAGTCAAGTTCTGTCGCTCATTCCTCCCTCTCATGCACACGACCGTAGAAACACACTCTCCCTTCACCAGTTTTCATGACGTACATGCAGGTTGAGTTGCTGAAAATGTCGCAGTCACAATTGGATACGTTGGCTTGCTTGCTGTCAGCACAAACACAAACAACAAGACCATGTGAAGCGTTCACACGTATAACACGGCAAGCACCGTAATCGAATTTCAGCCTCAAAAAATCCTGGATCTCCATGTCGCAAAGAATCCTGCGGCGATAATATTCTTTCCAATTTGCAACCCCCCCCCCCCCCCCCCACAAACTTTAAATTTCAGTTCATGCAAAGCATTAATTGTAGTTAACATACCACTGCACACACAGACATTCAAGACAAGCTTTGTGCCGGATCGGGACTCACAGTGGATGAAATGATTAGGCTTACACCGCACTTCCACATGGTAGGACAAATGTGGAAGGGGCAGCTAAAGTGGCTAGGCTTACACCGCACTTCCACATGTTAGGACAAATGTGGAAGGGGCAGCTAAGAGGCTAGGCTTACACCGCACTTCCACATGGTAGGACAAATGTGGAAGGGGCAGCTAAAGTGGCTAGGCTTACACTGTGCTTCCACATGGTAGGACAAATGTGAAAATAGGCTGCTAGCACGGTTACGCTTACACCCTGACAACCGAATGGTAGGACGAATGCGGCGGGGCTGGTAACCTGGAGTTAAGTGACCAGCTCAAAGCTAATCATGTGCACAGACACATGCAATACACACGTACACACACACACATGGCACACGACACATACATGTATACACAACACACACGCAACCCCCCTCCCCACCCCCCACCCCCCCCCCCCCCCCCACACACATTTTCTCTTACTTTCTGAATCCCTGGTTGCACTTGCAGATGCCACATTCACTGACTCCCTGACCCGAGCAAAAATCTGAGCTGTTATCCTGTGGAACACAAAGCATAGGAAATAGTTTTTTTTTAACAGAACAAGGAAATGTATAGCCATACATATTCACAGCACTCTCCAAACAGTCTCTGGGTTACAATCATCATTAAAACGAAAAGGCATGAAGATGTAAGGGTATGGTGGATTGCTATAGTGGAGTCTTTGTACTTTGAGAAAGGAAATTGCATGTCAGCTGTTTTACAATTCATTGTGCGGTATGATCTTGCCCTGCATTTTTCCCATTGTTGTGATCTCCCCCCCCCCCCCCCCCCCCCCCCGTCCGTATTATCTCCATGGGTGAGAATCACTCACCATATCTCAGTGGTTACAGCATCGCTGGCCTGAAACGAAGATCCCCGGTTGAGTCCTGGTGGTGACAGTCAATTTTTTTCTTCGGACTTTTCCCGTTTACATCTTTCCCTCAAACCAGTGAATATATTGATCAATGTGTGAAAGGGCTGGTATCAGGACTCAGTGGATACACATGGTTGCGGGGGCTAACCTTGTTCTGTTCACACGGGCACTTGCAGAGAGCGTTGATATCAACTATGACATCACCATAGCCAACAAGACGCAGCAACACTCTGCAAGAGAACAGGATTACAGAATGAGCGCAGGCTGGGCTGTCTTCCTTTGAAACAATGCAACATAGACAAGTTTCCAAATACTAGCGTGCTGATTTCATCTTCTGTAATTGGATGATGATATCAATGTGAGTTTGGCTTTCTCAGTTGAGAACACTTCCCTAAAATAGAGCTCTTTGCAAGCAACCAAAGCCACAGTAATGTAGTCTTGCAGCTATACAGCTATGCATATACTAGCATCCTATACAGCTATGCATATACTAGCATCCTATACAGCTATGCATCTACTAGCATGCTACAGGTCCTCCCTCGTTAGTAGATAATCTCTGGGCCATCGAAAAAGTTATCTTATAACGAGACTTATCTTGTAGCAGGACTTGCAGCTAAAGGTGAAATAGGCACTACTTCATACTTACCGGGGCTACCCTCGATACAACATAAATCATCGATGCTTCAACTCGTTATAAGATAATTGAAAATCTCCAACAGAACTCTTCCTTGGATGCAAAGGATCGTCCATATTCACGAATACATAGACATCATACGTTTCCTCGTTCTGCTTTATCCTACATGTTTTGGCCTTGGTCGTGCATGGTCAATATTATCTTATACTGAGGGTTTGGCACTCCAGGGACCTGGGCAAAGGGTCGTTATAACGGATTTTATGTACTAACGGATTATGTTGTAACCGGACCTGTAAACAGTTGTATAGACCACGTTTCGCCAGGGGATTTCAGATTTCTATTTACTAACGGGGTTTATGTACTAACCGGACTCGTTATAATGAGGGAGGACCTGTATACAGCTATGCATATACTAGCATCCTATACAGCTATGCATATACTAGCATCCTATTTCAATAACCCAGTACTGTACTGTCAGGCGCCCAACAACGGCCAGGCTAGAATTTCACCAAGCACAGCATAGCAATGTATACACGGTGACTCAACTGTGCATAGACTGTAGTACATGAAGATAAGAACGGACTAGGCTACGAGGCTGACCCCCAGTTCCGACCGACAGTACTGTAGTGCTCTCACCCATACCCTCTCCCCCCCCCCCCCCCTTGGGAGCTGCTGTCATTCAGAAAGACAAGACCGAGCATACAAATAATGTGCTATTAAGGCGAAACACAGCCCCCCCCCCCCCCACACACACACACACACTCCCCTCGCCCTCCCCCCCCCCCCTCACCCTCCCCCCCCCTCACACTCCCCCCCCCCCCTCACACCCCCTGCCCTCACCTCCCCCCCCCCCCCCCCATCCTCACACCCATCACTTCTGTTCACGGTAATCCTAATGAGAAACCTGACTTACTGCTTGGTCTTGATCAGGTCTTCACATGAGAGTGCAGTGAGTGTTACATTGAAGCTAGCCTGAACCGGACCAACACAGCATAACATTAGATATGAAGAGTACAAGTGTGATCTCAACCTGCAGTTTTTCTAGGTGAAGGCCGACACAAAGGTTTCACTCCAGACATACACAACCATTGATACCCTGCAAGTGGTAAACTGGTGCTGGACCAGCCCATGCACGGATACTGCAAATATGCAAAATTTCGGAATTTCGGCAGCGATTTATTTTCGCTGTACAGTTGGAACTGACCCAGGGTTGGAACTGATCCAGTTGGAACTGATCCAGTTGGAACTGATCCAGTTGGAACTGATCCAGGGTGCCAGCATTGTAATTTGAGTAGTATTTTTGGAACTAAGCTGATTAAAACACTGTTCCAATCAGGAATAAGGAACGATAAAAATTGTTGCTGATATCCAATGATAGTGTTGCAATTATATTGTCAGTATGCTGGCACATGTACGTGCTATTTGTGCATGCATGTGTTGTCATTTTGTTGCGGGCTGTGTCCGTCTTCCTGTATAACTGCAGTTCCATTGCTCTTGCCCGTTTCAAGGTACATGCAGTGATATCGTTAATAGCGTATGATTGTCTTAAAGTAGGATAAAGCTCATTTCAAACGCTTGCAATCCCGCGGAATCACACACAATCTCATTATGTTGGGAGGCTGTTGGTTGGCGCTATCGAGCAGTGCTCAAGCTGACTGTCATGCCTTGGAATGTCTCAGTACTCCTTGCCAGTTTTGTGCTACTGTAAGACATGTATATATAACGAGAAAGCAAATCTAACGTTTTAACGGATGACAATTCTTCGTTATAATAAGATCCGTTGAGGCCGGACTGCTTCATATATGCTGTGTGTGGATATGGCAGAATACTGCAAGATCGTCAACATATCTTCTCGTTAACCTATGAATTTTGGACAATCGTTAAATTTGCGACTCGTTATAATAACATGTCTTACAGTAGATTGTGCACGTCTGACTGTTCAAAATCTCATTACATCAACCCTAACAGCTTACCTTCTTGCCAAAGTCTAAGTTTGTGCAGTACTCCACTGATCCCGCTGTTGAAGCATTGCCTCCGCTGAAGCAACAACACAACAACACCATATCGACATTGTCAAGGAACATTGGAAAAATTAAGGTCTGATATCAGTGGGATCTAGTATCAATGGAGAACGGATCTGCCATCTATAGGGTATGCTGTCTTGTCCAATAGCCAGC